GTGCCATGCCTCAGCACCTCCTGGGAAGCTCCCAGGGCAGCACAGGGATGGAACCAGCCCTGGGTTCAGACATGACCTTATTCCCTGCCCCAAACACCCTCCTGGCCCACAGAAACCACCCCAAGAAAGGGCCAGGACCACCAGCACCCCTCACCTGGCAGCACCCCTGCAGAAGAGAGCACCAAGGCCCAGCCAGACCCTGCCTTTTATCTGCATTCCCAGGGGGAGGATGTGGCTCCATTCCAGCTGTCCCCAATTAACACACAAACTCCTCTGCACTCTCCCAGGTGCAGCTGGAGGTGTCTCAGCGTCCCTCTGCTCCTCATGCAGCACTCAGCAGCAGCAGCAGGAGGGGCTGGGCCTGTCCCTCTGGGCAGGATGATCCCCAAACCCTGCTGCTGCTCCCCAAAACTCCCTGCTTGTGTGGTTGTGGCAGTGCTCACCTGCTGGGCTCCCCTACCTGGGGTGACAAAGGTGGATTGCAGCCCGAATATTCCCTGCTCCAGCCCAGCCCAGGGAGCAGAGCCTCCCCAGCCAGCTCCAGCTGCTCATCATCACATGAAATCCACACACACACCTCCGCAAAACAACAAAACAATCCCATCAATTCCTACAAACCCATGTGGAAGAGGAGTTACCTACTTGGAAGGCTGGCCAGAATCTGAGCTTAAACCTGGAAGAAATAAAGTTGCTGTTAATGGCCTTGAGCAGACACAAAAGGTTATCTGGACAGAGCAGTGAAGACACCAGCTGGATGGGACAGCCATGGGTGTCAGGTCTGACACTGCGCCCTTGGATGGGCAGAAGTGGTCTGGAACTGTCTGAAACCTCCTCAATACCCCCAGGATGAGTTTTCTCCCTTCCAGCTCAAACTTGCCCCCTCCACAGCCCACAGAGGAAAAGCTGGGCAGAACCCTTGGTAGGACAGGGATGCTGAGGCACCTTTGGATGTTCCCCAGCAGCAGCAGCACCTGGAGGGCAAGCGCAGCTGGAACATCCCTGGGAGAGCCCCAGGGACCCATCCCCAGGAGATGCCGGGCTACCTACGGAGCTGCTGCCGGATGGAGTTGTGCCAGTGGAGGTTGAGCAGGTCAGGGTAGATTTCACGAAGCTGCTTGATCGCCAGGAGCTTCAGCATGCGGTAGGTGCAGCTCTTCAGCTCCAGGTCTCTCAAGTGCCTCTCCTCCGAGAGGGTGGTGGGACGCAGCTCCACCTTGTGCTTCTGCAGCACTTGGTCCACTAAGCTCCCAGGCAGCGTTGGGAAGAGCTTCTCCTTCACCACATGGATGGGGATGAAGATGGCTCCTGCCCGGACGACGTGGGGGAAAGGGCAAGCGGACATGAAGGTCTTCAGCTGGGAGAGCAGGTCAGTGAGGAGCCTGGCCACGTCATGATAAGCCAGCCAGATCTCCTTGCCGTTGCTGGGCTTCTGAGGAATGGGAGCCTTGGAGCCGTTCTTGGGGCTGGGCAGGGATTTGGGCATCTCTCCCAGCTCTTCTGCCAGCTCAGCTTTCTTCAGCCACTCCTGCAGCAGCTCCGGGGAGGAGCGGGACACTGAGCCTGAAATGGTGTCACAGAGCAAGGTGTGCAGGGAGGTGAAGTACTGCCCCGGGGGGGTCCGTGAGGGGAGAACACCAACCTTCTGGACCACCAACACCTTCTCCTCCACCGAAGTGGAGGGGGCATTGGAAACCAGGATCTGGGGAGGGTTTGGGGCCAGGATGATGCTGATCTGGGGGCCAGACTGTGGGAACAGAGGGGTGCTGGATGGAGAGGAGGCTGGTTGAGCTGGTGTGGGGGTGCTGCTGCAGGGGCTGGGCTGGGGGGCTTTTGAGCTTCCATCCTGCTGGGTGGGCTCAGTGCTGGGTGGGAGGGAGGGCAGCAGCTTGTATTTCTGGAACATGAAGTTGGCTGAGCTCTGGAAGCTGCTCTTGTCCCCAGAGTCCGCCTCAGACACCCGGCACTGTGCACCCTCTCCCGACCCTACCTTCACTGCTGCAGCCTCTTTCTCCTCCTTATCCTCTCGGTCCAGTGTCCCCTCCACAATGCCAGGGAGTCTCTGGGTGTCCCCAGCTTCCACCAGTCTCTTCTTGAAGCTAAGGTCCAGCAACATTTCCTTAGGGAGTGGCTCCTCAGTGCCCACCCTGTCAGGGCTCCCCTCCTGAGACTCCAGCTCTTGGGTCTCAGCCTTTGGCTTTTTAGGGATGCTCCCATAACAACTTTCCTCTTGGCTCTGCTCTGCATCACTGCCTGACCTCAGGCTGGACACCACTGAGACGTCTCTGACAGCAGCAGGCTCCTGGCTGCCACCCGTGTTTTGGGGTGAGGAGTCCTCCCACTGATGGTTCCTGCAGAACAGAATGGGGTCTGTGACTTTGGCCCTTTCCAGATACTCCTGGTAGGGTGCCAGGCTGAAGACATTGTGGATCACAGGCACTGGTGGGGAGGATGACAAAGCCTTGGTGTCCCTCAGCTCTTCCAGCCCTTTGACGGGGGTCACGGACAGAGAAGGGCGGATGAGCTCCTTGGCTGCATCCTTGACCTTGCAGGCATTTCCTTCCCCTGGTCCCCCATGGGGGGTGTCCTGAGGGGCCGGGCTGCTGTTTCTCCTCCCTTGGTACAGGTGCTCCTCCTCCCTTTGCCTGGGTTTCTCCCAGCTCCCTCCTCTCTCGGGAAATGTCTCAGCCAGCCCACCGGAGCCCCCAGAAAGCCTCTCTGGGGTGCAGAAAGGCTGGAAAGCGCTGCTGTGCCTCGGTGCTGCTCGCCACTGCGGACTGTCTGCCCCGTGCTGCTCACAGCCCGGCTCCGTGCCGGGAAACGAGGCGTGGAACGTGGATGCATCGCCCAGGCTGACAGCAAACCCTGGGTACCCCGTGTTCCTGGGCAGCTCGGCATCCCTGCCTGGCTCAGCATCCCTCAGCGCTGCCCCCAGCCTGGCACCCACTGTCCTTGGCACGTGGGGCTCCAAGGGGCTGGGAAAATAACTGCTGGGATCTTGGGGCTTGAGGTAGGTGCTGGGAAAGGGCTCCCTGCTTGCCACGTAGCCACAGCTGGGTAGGGCACTGGGCTCCCCCGCAGTGGGAGCTGGGCGGTGGTAGAGGGGGCCAGCTCTGTGGGGTGACAGCAGGTATGGGTGGGGTGGGTAGCACATTGCTGTCATGTCCTGCGTCACTGGGCTGCTGTCAGGCAGCTGGAGCTTGGGCCAGGGGACCTCTGGCATCCTCTTCTGACTGTGGGCAGAAGGATAACTTGCTTCCAGGAACGGGGTGCTGGGGGGTGGCCCGTGCTTATCAAAGGTGACACAGTAGTGGGGTAAGGCAGTGGGGGAGCTCAGCTGCTCCCTGGAAGGCAGGGCCAGGCTGGAGGGGGGCAGCAGGAGGCTGTGGTTGGTGCAGGGATCGCTCCTGTGGGGTTTGCTGGGGTGCAGAGGGTGGGTGGCAGGGGGCAGGGCCCAGTTTACCTCTCCTGGTCGCTGCTGCAGGCTCTCTGCTTGTTTCCCGAGTAGCAGAGCCATCCTGGGAGCCAAGAAGGAGGCGGGGGCACCGTACACTGGGTTGGGGACTGCGAGAGGAACTGCCTTCTTCACCACCACCGGATTCTTCACTGCCAAGGGGCACCTGGGACTGTTCAGCTTCTTTCTGGGCATCAGCTTCTCCTGCCTTATCAGGCTGTCCTTGCTCTTCTGGCTGTCCAGGGGGTGCAGCCTGGTGTCAAGGCTCTCTGGTGGGCACAGCAGGAAGTTCTGCAGTGGCCCCTCAGCTGGCACGGGCTGGCTCAGGGCACCGGGGCTGTAGTGCAGGTAGGCGGGCGTGGGGCTCCAGCCAGCTGGGGGCTGCTCGGGGCCCTTGGGGCTCTGCAGTGGGCAGGCAAAGTAGGAGCCCGTGTAGCTGAAATGACTTTCAGAGCCAGGGTGGGGCACAGGGCTGCATGTGCCTGGGATTTGCCAGGGCAGGAAGCCGGTGGCAGGCTCCAGACGAGGCAGCTTCTTGAGAATCACAGGGTCTGCAGGCTCTGAGTACCGTTTTGAGGCCATTTATAGGTTGGTGTCGGTGTCCCCACAGGAGAGCTGAGTTGGCCTTCCTGGAAAAGAGAGAGAGTAAGTGTCCTGGTTTGAAGAGCAAAACCAGTGAGAAGCTCTAAGCCAGAAATACAATTTACTAGGAAAAAGGGAATGAAGAACTAAATATATAGAATAGCACAAAAAAAGAATAACTGACAGAGTTTGAGATACAACCTGACACTTGCTGGCTAGGGCAGTGGTAGCAGATATGGTTCTGTCCAAGCAGTGGTCCTGTAGACTGATGTAGTTTCCCTCTGGCAGTCCAGTGAAGAGAATGTCTCAGCTGTTCCTCTTGGAAGAGGGGATCTGCTTGCTGTCTGCGAAACCCCGCTTATATCCTTGATGGCATCGTTTGGCTCCTCCCTCTGGGCGGAGCATCTCACAATAGAATGCTGTGATCTTATCAGTCATGTGGCTAAAAGAATGGGTCCTCCTGGAGGGACATCATTTGGCTCTTTCCCTCTGGGTGTGGCATCTCACAATAGAATGCTGTGATCTTATCAGTCATGTGGCTAAAAGAATAGGTCCTTCTGGAGGGACTTATCTCTGAGTCACGAGATAAGGGAAGGAAAAGGAATTGCAGCTCCAGGTAGTAATGGAATAAACCCCAGTATTATAACCTAGGACACCTTTAAACAACCTGGTGTTTGGTATTGCACAGTTTAAAACAGATAAAAGCCAAGCAAAGCTCAAAAGCCGCAGCTGATGTGCTGTGGGCACTGCCCAGCAGATCATCCCGTAAGGATGGAGAGCAGGGAGAATCTGGCAGAGGAGTGAGTGCCGCTTCAGGAGTGCGGGCAGAAAGGAGGGGCAAGAAACCGACAGGAGAGCGGCTGTTACCAGAGCGCCCTGTCCCTGTGGCACCGTCCTGCCATGCCATCAGACTTTTTCAGCCACCGGCAACAGACACGTTTGTGCTGCACGCAAGCCCGCCTGCGTCATGGCACTGGAGCCATCGCTGTGCTCCGCGCTCCATATCGCCGGTAACGCACTCGGCACACCCCTGCCTGCGGCTGCAGCCCAGACACCGCTCGGCAAACCCACCAACGGCGCGAGCAGAGCCCAGAAGTGAAGTGGCACCCGGTACCGAAGTTCTGGTGGGAGGTTGCTGGTGCCCAGGACCATGGGACATGGTACCCTGCCACATACACAGGCAGGGCTCCAGAAGTCCAAGGGACGCTTTTCATTATTAAGCTCACAACATCCTAACGGAGGGAAACCAAGCTATCACACTCTTGCTGACCCATGAGAGAACGCTTCTGCCACACTGCCGGTATCGGTCACCATCTCTGCCTACGATCTGGTCAGCTTCTGGAGGCAGATAAAGCCGATTGCCATTGCAGATGGGGATCTTAAAGGTGAGGAAAAGATATCTGTGCCCATGCCCCCACTGCCATCGTGTGTCTCACAGCCTACTGGTGGGATGATTGGTGCTGACACCTGACACCTGACACGTATGTTTCCCTAAATGACAGGTCCTCTCTGAACTGTGCCAGCCAGCCACCAAACACACACTGTGGTCTCTGGCAGTAGCAAGGATGTTAGTGTTTCTTACTGCCAATGAGATGACACCTTCAGATATTAAACAGACAGTGAAGCTGCTTTGTCCCCCAGTTCAATGAATGATGTTCGAATCCACCTGGCAGTGATATGCAGAGGATCAAGGGCAGCGCAATTTAGAGGTATGGCAGCAAGATTCACCCTTTGGGGCTGGGGTTTCTCAGCTTATGGGACTGCCCCCTGTTGACAATCTTCAGTTACAGGCACGCCTACATCCTTGAATATTAGTACAGGCAAAACACTTAGGGATACAAGCCCTGCTGAAGGTTGCAGACATGTCAACACCAACCCAGAGGTATTCCATGATCAAACAGGGCCCCAAGGAACCATACGTGCAATTCATAGAGAGGACACGAAATGCTGTCACAATCTGCTAGTACAAGCAGGGGTTGTGATGGTTTGTTTTACCAATCTCAGAGTGCAAAAGACACACAGCAAGGGATTTCAGTATTAATCAAAACAAATGCACCTTTTATTGAGTGCCCACAGCAAATGTGATAGAAGGATTAGAAAGGAGGTAAAGGAGAGAGAGAGAGGGAGAGAGAGAGAGAGAGAGAGAGAGAGAGGTGGGAGGGGGTAAGAGCTACCAACAGAGACACAAAATCCTCATCGTCCAGCCAGCCAATAGGTCTGTCTTGTCACATCAGGGAGAATCTCAAACTCTTTGGTAAACTCAGGGGTCTTTTATAGTCTTCTGCCAGGTCGGGGGAACAGGAAGGTTTGTGGAGGGAACAGGTACAGGACAGTGGAGAATAAGTCCATTGAGAACACGTACAGACAGTCCAGTTCCGAACAGGACAAACCAGTCCCAGCAGTGAGCAGGACCCATTGTTTCAGGACTGGTTCCCATGGGAAAGCAGTCTTGGTCCAGCGAGCACATTTGCAGGTAACACTTGGCAGACATCCCGCTTCAGTCAGGCCAGTGCCCCTGTGTTAGAATTGTAAGGGTCTCAGTCCTTAGGGGGGGCTTCAATCTGCATTCTTGATGGTGCTCATGAGGCAGATGAGGGATCGTTGGACCATCTCTTACAGATGCCATGGAAAAGGAACTAATGAATAATGATGCAAGAAATCAATTAATTGAAAATTGGCATGGGATAGTGCAAATGGGGACTGCAAAAGGGCTATAGATTTATTACCAAAAGAAAATCCATCCTTAAATATATAATTAATGCACATGCTAAAATTGTGGCTGATTTAAATAGTATTGCTTTGTCAGCTGATTCTGTCTTGGTTTGAAAGACAAGTGTCTGCTAATGAAGGCAGGAGCCTCCCTTGAAATGGAAAATGTAAACCCCTCCCTCCAAATTGTTACAGTTTAGAATTTAATGGGCCCTCAGGCAAAGATATGAGAAAAGAAATAACAGTTCTTCACTGTTATGTATAAATTTTAAAAATCCCTACAATTTAATAGGAAAATTAAAGTAAAATGCAGTAGCACAAAAAAAAAAACCACTGACATAGTCAGAATTTGACTTGACACCCTGGGGTCAGGGTGTTGTTTGCAGTCCGACTAAGTGGTGGCTGCAGTCTTCCTCAAGTGACAGGTGTGGTTCTGTTGAAGCAGTGATCCTTTAGAAGGGTGTAGTTTTCCTCTGAAGATCAAGTGGTGAAGTAGACGGGTCTGGTCTTCCTCTGGGAATCCAGTGGAAAAGGCTGCCTGTAGTGTTGAAAAGTCTCAGATTGTATCCAGGTAGGAATGCTTGGCTCCTTCCCCTGGGTGGAGCATCTCACAATGGGATGATGTAATTTTATCAGTCATGCAGTGACACTCAATGGCCCATTAACAGAAGATATCTCCCCGGAGGGAGGGCGGGTCATGGAAGAGATAAAGAACACTGCCCCGCCTGGTTTTAACAGATGGTAATAGAATACCATAGAATGCTTTTGGTGACATCTTGCATTGCAATCTAAGACAAGGCCTCTGCCTGCCCACATCTTTCTCTAATGCCAGCAGCTCTTTCCACTGCCTGCAGCTTCTCACAGCTGTGGTAGATAGGGACAGGCAAAAGGAAGATCTCGGGATGTGACGGAAAGAAAGACCCTTCCCCTTTCTGCCTGCTTCACGTTATCTATTAACCCCAGAGCATGTAACCACACCTAACCCAGTAGTTTTCCACTCCCGACTAACCCTAGGGACCCTACAACCCCCCTCTGACGTAGCAAAGTCCCCCAAGACTATTTAAACCCATGAGATAAGATAATAAATGCTTTCGACCGTCCACCACATTGGTGTCAGTGTGTGTCGTTAGTCCGAGTAGCCCGGGCGAGACCGGGCTGCCGTGGTGTCTTCTTGTAACCAGGTCACCATTATCTTTCATAAAGGCAACACACAGCCCACCCAGCTGGCTGGCAGCAACCTCTGTTCCTCCATCACTCTGCAATACCACGGCAGCTTGTTATCCTCACACAGGCACCAAATGTCGCTGGGGCGTTGGAGACAGGAATGCGACAAGCACACTCCGTGCTCCTCCAGCAACAGCCAAGGTTTCTTTTCTGAAAGGTCTTTTTAAAGGGGCTTCAAATCTGCCGCTCATACAAACGAGATTGACTGAAAATTTTAACTCCAGCTGACTGGCCAATGGTAGGAGGACATCCATGATTCCAAGTGATTGAGTGAGGTCCCCTGTTTGAACGTAACTCCAATCTATCATTAGTACAATGGGGACTTGTTTACTTCTACCTTCTGATGAGCTGGGCTGGTCGAGTAAGTGTCTGTTGGGCCAAATTATCTCTGTAGCTTTAGACCAGCAGTAGGTGTCACACCCCTGTACCCAGGGAGGAGAAACAGCAGCCCGGCCCCTCAGGACACCCCCCATGGGGGACCAGGGGAAGGAAATGCCTGCAAGGTCAAGGATGCAGCCAAGGAGCTCATCCACCCTTCTCTGTCCGTGACCCACATCAAAGGCCTGGAAGTGCTGAGGGAATCCAAGGCATTGTCATCCTCCCCACCAATGCCTGTGATCCACAACGTCTTCAGCCTGGCACCCTACCAGGAGTATCTGGAAAGGGCCAAGGTCACAGACCCCATTCTGTTCTGCAGGAAGCATCTGTGGGAGGACTCCTCACCCCAAAACACGGGTGGCAGCCAGGAGCCTCCTGCTGTCAGAGACGTCTCAGTGGTGTCCAGCCTGAGGTCAGGCAGTGATGCAGAGCAGAGCCAAGAGGAAAGTTGTTATGGGAGCATCCCTAAAAAGCCAAAGGCTGAGACCCAAGAGCTGGAGTCTCAGGAGGGCAGCCCTGACAGGGTGGGCACTGAGGAGCCACCCCCTAAGGAAATGGTGCTGGACCTTAGCTTCAAGAAGAGACTGGTGGAAGCTGGGGACACCCAGAGACCCCCTGGCTTTGTGGAGGGGACACTGGACCGAGAGGATAAGGAGGAGAAAGAGGCTGCAGAAGGTAAGGTGGGGTCAGGAGAGGGTGCACAGCCCCGGGTGCCTGAGGCGGACTCTGGGGACAAGAGCAGCTTCCAGAGCTCAGCCAACTTCATGTTCTAGAAATACAAACTGCTGCCCTCCCTCCCACCCAGCACTGAGCCCACCCAGCACTGAGCCCACCCAGCACTGAGCCCACCCAGCAGGATGGAAGCTCAAAAGCCCCCCAGCCCAGCCCCTGCAGCAGCACCCCCACACCAGCTCAACCAGCCTCCTCTCCATCCCTCACCCCCCTGTTCCCACAGCCTGGCCCCCAGCTCAACATCATCCTGGCCCCAAACCCTCCCCAGATCCTGGTTTCCAATGCCCCCTCCACTTCGGTGGAGGAGAAGGTGTTGGTGGTCCAGAAGGTTGGTGTTCTCCCCTCACGGACTCCCTCAGGGCAGTACTTCACCTCCCTGCACACCTTGCTCTGTGACACCATTTCAGGCTCAGTGTCCCGCTCCTCCCCGGAGCTGCTGCAGGAGTGGCTGAAGAAAGCTGAGCTGGCAGAAGAGCTGGGAGAGATGCCCAAATCCCTTCCCAGCCCCAAGAACGGCTCCAAGCCTCCCATTCCTCAGAAGCCCAGCAACGGCAAGGAGATCTGGCTGGCTTATCATGATGTGGGCAGGCTCCTCACTGACCTGCTCTCCCAGCTGAAGACCTTCATGTCCGCTTGCCCTTTCCCCCACGTCGTCCGGGCGGGAGCCATCTTAATCCCCATCCACGTGGTGAAGGAGAAGCTCTTCCCAACGCTGCCTGGGAGCTTAGTGGACCAAGTGCTGCAAAAGCACAAGGTGGATCTGGGTCCCACCACCCTCTCAGAGGAGAGGCACCTGAGGGACCTGGAGCTGAAGAGCTGCACCTCCCGCATGCTGAAGCTCCTGGCGATCAAGTGGCTTCCTGAAATCTACCCTGACCTGCTCAACCTCCACTGGTACAACTCCATCCGGCAGCAGCTCGGTAGGTAGCCTGGAAATGGCCACAGCACCGTCCCCAGCCTTGGAAAAAAGGACTACAGGGATGACATCCCACCTCCTCCTCCCTAAATGCCCCCTCCTGCTTTATCCACGCCATTCCCAATAACCATCCCCTTCCTCTGGCATTTTCACCTTTATAGTGCCACAAAGACCTGGCACAGCAGCAAGGGCAAGGGAATGTCGACTTCCATAGTCCCAAACTAAGTTTTTTGTTATCATAAATGAAGACATTTTACAAATGTTCTGGATTTACCTTTATAAGGAGCTGCTGCCTTCAGGTCATGTGTTTTGGATTCTTTTTTTCCTTAAATACTGTAATTTATATGTGTCTTTTTATTTAAACTAAAAAGCTGCAAGAATTAAAGACTTTTAAAGAAAAGAAAACCAAATCGCTTTGCATCCCAGATCCTGCCCCAAAGGAGAACATGGGAGATGCACTTTTAGGGACCACCTTGGTGCCAGACCTTGGAAGGAGGGATCCTTTCATCCCAAAGGGTTACGGGCATGCCAGGAGGGATGTTGGCATTCCAGGACTAAGGGACAGCCCCTCGCCCTGGGGGCTGCAGCAGGGTACACAGCAGAGGCCTTAAAAACTCATTGCTCAGGTGTTCTTCAAGCTGCTGCAGGACATGGAGGAACAAAACAAGGGTTACTCAAGTTTCATTTCACTACAGGGGATATTTATTTTAAACTAAGACGATGGGGTGGGGGGGATGGGTAGAAAAGACCTTACCCAGACTGTACTTATTTTAGCCAAAAGGTGTGTGTCCTACTGGGGGTTTTCTGGGGGTGCCCTCCTGTTTTATTGTGGGGATGGGGTGGCTGTGGATGGGATGGGTAAGGGGTATGCTGCTCTTCTCCTCACTCCCCCCCACCACTCCATGCCTGTGCACAGCCATTCAGAAAGCAATGTTTGTAAATAATGTTGGTTTTGTACATATATATGGTTCCAGGAAAGAAAGTTCCTTCCCTTTATTTAATTTTTTTGTAAGAATATGAAGAGTTGCCTCACCTGGTTTAAAAGAGTTTGGCTTGTTTCCAGACATGCCCTGCTTCTGTTTCTGTGTCCCAGTGTGGGCATAACGGGATCTCCCAGGGGTTGGAGGGTCCCCAAATCCTGATGCACTTGCCCTCTTCTGCCTGCAACAAGCCACGAGCGCTGTGCCCAGCCCCTCTGTCCCATCACTGCAGGCTGGATCCAGTGTCCAGGATGCCACCACAGGAGCACATCCCAGGCTCCACAAACTCCCCAGGTGACAGCCTGGGAAGAGGGTGCTGGTGGGTGTCTGAGCATCAGAAACTGGGCAGGAGAGTCTGGGGTGCTCAGGGATGCAGCCTGGGCTGACCCAGTGGGGGCCCCTGAGTCCCTCCCCATCGTGAGCCCCCATCAGGCACAGAATCTGCCTGATCCCAAAGGCCAAGTGCTGCAATCCACCTCTGTCACCCCAGGTAGGGGAGCCCAGCAGGTGAGCACTGCCATAACCGTGCAAGCAGGGAGTTTTGGGGAGCAGCAGCAGGGTTTGGGGATCATCCTGCCCAGAGGGACAGGCCCAGCCCCTCCTGCTGCTGCTGCTGCTGAGTGCTGCATGAGGAGCAGAGGGAAGCTGAGACCCCTCCAGCTGCACCTGGGAGAGTGCAGAGGAGTTTGTGTGTTAATTGGGGACAGCTGGAATGGAGCCACATCCTCCCCCTGGGAATGCAGATAAAAGGCAGGGTCTGGCTGGGCCTTGGTGCTCTCTTCTGCAGGGGTGCTGCCAGGTGAGGGGTGCTGGTGGTCCTGGCCCTCCTTGGGGAGGTTTCTGGGGGCCGGGTGGGTGTTTGGGGCAGGGAATGAGGTAATGTCTGAGCCCAGGGCTGGTTCCATCCCTGTGCTGCCCTGGGAGCTTCCCAGGAGGTGCTGAGGCATGGCACAGGCTTTCCTGGGCTGGGAGGCTGCTGGGGAGCAGGAGGGGGTTTAATGAGGAGCTCTGGGGATGGGAAGCTTGGGAAGGGGCCAGGCCCTGGGATGTGGGAGCTGCAGAGCCCCACCCTAAATCTGCTGCTGTCCCTCTCCACAGCTGAGCTCTCGCCGTGGCCCTGCCAGGATGGGCCGAGGGGTTGGAGCACCGAGCCCCCCGGACGCTGCTGCTGCCCTGCGGGCAGGAACGATGCTCCGTGCTGAGAGGGAAGGGGCTGCGGGCACAGCCCCGTGTCCTGCTGCCCGCGGGGCTGTCCCTGCCCGCAGGCTGTGGTGCAGAGCCTTCCTGCTGCTGGCCGTGTGCGTGTGTGCCACTGCTGTCCCCTACGGCCTGGGCGCTCTGGCTGCTGTCACCTGGGGTCCCCCGGGCTCCTCGGCCTCCCAGAGAGGGAGCCCCAGCACGGCAGAGCAGGTGGTGGCCTCTGCTCTGCCCAGGCAAGGGACACCCAGCTCGGCCGGGCTGAGCCCTGGCACGGTGGGGGTGCCCCCTGCCCTGACACCAGAGGGGCTCTGGGGCACTGCTGGCACTGCCCTGCCTGGGGCAGCTGCTCCCTCGGTGGGTGCTCTGCTGGCCCAGGTTCCAGGAAATGGCTCTGGACTCCTGGGTGCTGTCCTGGCATCACTTCCTACCACTGCCACAGCTCCTGGTGCCCACAGTCAGCAGGGGCTGCCTCCTTCCCTGCCCACGGTGGAATCTGGGGCTCCTGCTGTCACCTCGGGGATACAGAGTGAGTGGCCTTCTCCCCCTGCACTGCCGATGTCCCCTGGAGCCTCCCCAGCACAGCCCAGGGCTCCCAGCCCTGCAGGTCCCACCGTGCCTGGGATGAGCTCCACAGCCATCGGTGCCATCCCAGAGCTTGGACAGACGGCTGTGATGGAAGGATCCAGGCACAGCAAGCCCGGGACAGCATCCGTGGGCCCCGTTCCCACTGCAGCAGGACCTGCAGGGCCCAGCCCTGCCAGCCCAGGCTCTGTGCCTCCCCCCTGCTCCCCACAGCCAGCTCTGCAGCGTGGCTCTGAGCCTGGGCACCGCCCTGCCACCCGCAGCAGCGTGACATCTGCATCCTGCCCGCCGACTTCTCCTGGTGCTGGGTGTGTGGCCAGCTCCCTGCTCAGCTCCCAGACCCTGGCTGTGCCCACAGGAGTCACCCTCGATGCCCACGTCGTGTCCAGTGGCCCCAGCACTTCCCAGCGCTCCTCCGCAGCCAGGGAGCCTCTCCCTGCAGGCACCAGAGCGGCCTCCAGCCTGGCTGAGCTGCTGAGCGAGGGCAGAGCTGGCTCCCCAGGGATGGAACCCCCTGCACCCCACCCCTCCAGCCTCCCCCTGCCCGCAGCGCCTGTGCACGTGCTGCCCCTGCAATTCCGGCTGCTGGGCATCGCTTTCGCCCCGGCTCTGGGCAGCAGGAATTCCCAGAGCTACCGGCAGCTGGAGGCAGATGTGAGACTGATGGTGGGTGCTGCAGGTGGCTGGGACACATTTGGCACTTTGGGCTGCGGGGTGGTGCCAGGCCCTGCTGGGGGAGTTGCCTGTGTGCTGCAGCAGCCCTTGGTTGGTTGTTGCCCACCTGGGCATGGTGGAGGTGGGTGAACCCCTGGCACTGCTCCGCTGGAGCTTGGTCTGAGGTGGGACTGGGCTCCCCTCACCTCTGGCAGCCCCCAGGGCCATGGCACATGGTATTATTGCCAGGATGCTGTGGCTGCTCTGGGTGTCCCAGCTCATCCCCAGGCATTCCCAGAGGGCTGGCACTCCCTGGGGTGCCAGGGTGCCCTCCCCAGGCTGGCTGAGCTGACTTCCCTGTGTTTATTGTCCCCTCTTTGTACATGTCCCCTGCATATGGGGGAGCTTGGGAAACCTTCCCAATTAATTACCAGCTGCTTCTCCCTTCCAGCTCAACCAGATGCTGTCCAGCTACCAGAGCTTCCTGCAGGCAAATGTCCTCGAGTTCCTGTGAGTGTGGGGCTGCTGTGGGGCTGGGTTCTGAGGCAGCAGTGGCCTGAGGGAGCCACCCTGGCCCTAAGGGAGTCCTGTGTGGAAGAGCAACTGGTTACACGTAACTTTGACAGAGACTCTGTTCTCTTGGGAAAGGTGTATGCCAGAGGAATGGCTGCAGCCATAACCATCACGTGTGAAGGATTGTTTTTCCTTTGCTCCCAGAAGGCTGGGAGGTGGATGTTGGAGTGAATGGCTGATAAGGGCAGCAACCTCTGCTCTAACCAATGCTTATTGGTGTAGGCTGTTTTGGCTTTCCTCCTGGGTGCTCCTGAGACTTTCTTCAACCTTTCCCATAGCAGATATATATAAATCCTGGAGCGTGTGTAATAAGGATGGATCCTGCTGGAAGCAGCAGTGCTCTCTGTTTTTGTCCAAGCTGCTGCAGGTTTGGCTTGGAGGGAAGGGTCAGCCCAGGAAACTGCTCCAGACAGGTCATTGTGAGGGGCTACACTCCCTCACTGGTGTCATCATCCCAAGGGATCCCTGTCTGAGTTCCTGGATAAAAGCACCTGGAGAAAAAAGAGGCAGCAGGTGTGCTGCCCACTGTCTCCTCTCTCTGCCAGGAATGGCTCAGTGGTGGTGCGAGGGGAGGTTCTGTTCCGGGGGGATGCTCCTGCTCCCACCAGCTCCCACCTCATCCGGACAGTCGTCACAGAGGCCAGCAAGGGAAGGAGCATCTTCAGCTGGCAGCTGGAGCCCCAGTCTGTCCAGTCCGGTGGTGAGTCCTGAAGCTCTTCCCATAGCAGGGCTGCTGCCAAGCACCCTCCTCGTGCCTCTCTCAAAGCCAAAACCCGCTCAGTTTGGGTTCCAGGCTTTTCCTTCCCTTGACATCCCTTCTCCTGGCCTGTGTAAAACCGGTGTGAGGGTGTCAAGGGTGGTGGAGTGCACATCTGGAGCAGCTGGACCTGTGTGGTCCAGAGCTTCTGCTCAGCTCCCTGGCCTCCCCTCTCTGCCCCGGCTCTCCTGTGCTGGGAAATGCCACATCCCAACCCCTTCCCACATCCAAAGGGATTCCTCCTCGCTCAGTGCCCTGCTGCTTCCTGCCTT